GGGGAGGGAAGGAGGGAGAGAGGAAGGACTAAGACGCTGACTCTGCCCTGCCAGCACTGCAGCACCATAGTAGGAAGTGCACGTGCACCTAGCGAGGTGGGCAGGGCTGACCAGGAGGGAAATGGGGAAAAGCAGGGAAGGTTGTCATGGTTTTAAAGGGACGATTTAACAAAGCCACATGAAACACTCGTGGGAAAGCCACGTTGTGAGGTTACGGGAGCCTCTTTTCTGATAAGAGGTTCAGAGAGGGCCCCTGACTGCCCAAAGTCACACAGCAGGGACCGAGTCGTCAGAGCCTGGGTTTGAGGATGGGCCTCCTCCCTCCCGGGCCTAGGCTGGCCTGGTGTGGAGGCGGGGGAGCCCCACCCAAGCACAGGACAGCCCACCTTGATCTTCCCACGGGCGATGGCTTGGTTGAAGGCCACGGCGATGGCCACACGGCCTTTCTGGTCCGAGTACAGGATCCTGGCCTGGGAGCCCACCACCTGGGGAGAGAAGGGTGAGAGCTGACGGACGCGGGGGATGCTCGGGAGACACGTCCACCAGCAGTCAGACGGCCGCCCCCAGGGAGGCAAGAGGCGGCTCTAGAGTCCAGCACTCACGTCCTGCCCCGCGTGCCCACGTGCAGTCTGGGCCCCCAGATGTCCCTCCTGACCCATCCCCGCAGGGTTAACCCCCAGGGGCCTCCGGGACCCTGATTCGCCTGTCTCCGGGGATATCACCTCCTGTGGGCGTCATCCCGCTCGACCCTTCCCACCAGAGTAACCTCAGCACCCCACAAGGCGGTTCTGACGTGTCTGCCTTGCTCCGGCTTGGCACCCAGAATCTCCTTAGTGAGTCTGTGAGGAAGATGCTACTGTGCTCATCACAGGCCCCGTTCCACAGGTGAGGAAACGGGCCGGGGAGGCTGAGCCCCTGAGCACCGCCACCAGGATGCAGCCCCTTTGGAGCTGGGGGGCAGTCACTGCGGGAAACAAAGGCTCCCGAAAATGAACGATCGTTCATGTTAGCGTTGTTACTGCTAGCACAGCAGTCATCGTTAGCACAGTGGCTCTCAGCCGGGCGACATCTGGGGATGACTGTGGACATTTGGGTGCTGCTGGCATGGGTAGGGACGCTGCTAGGCGATGGTCCCCGTGACCAAGAATGTGCAGCCCCCAGGCGCTCGAAGACGTATTAGCGCCCGTGTTCACAGCAGCCTCATTCACAGGAGCCAAGAGCGGGAAGCAGCCCAGGGCCCATGGCTGGGGATGGATAGACAAGGTGCGGTCCATACACACAGGGAACATGATTCACCTTAACAAGGAAGGAAATCCTGACATGTGACAACGTGGATGAACCTTGAGGACACTGTGCTCACTGAAATGAGCCAGACACAGAAGGAGAGGGGAGGGGAGAGGGAGTTAGTGTCTGACGGGGACAGAGTTTCAGCTGGGGAAGATGAGAAAGTTCTGGAGATGACGGTGGTGATGGTCGTACAACAGCGTGTATGAGCTTAATGCCACTGAGTTGTACCTTCAAAATTGTTCGAATGGTAAATTTTATGTTATGTATATTTACCACAATCAAAAAAAATTCATCCGGCCCCAAATGTCAGCAGTGCCGAGACTGAGAAACCCTGGACTCTCCAAAGCGGGTGCAGGTGTCTCCCTCAGCCGCCCAGGGATGGGGTGAAGCGGGAGCGGGGGAGGGGCGTCCACTGGAGGCCCGCGCATGCCAGCCTCTCAGTCAGCCTGTGGCTTCCTCGGCCTCCCGCTTTCCGCCCAAAGGCCTTACTTTATTTGCGCCAGCTGCCCCAAATCCTTTTTGGAAAAACTGTACCATAAACCAGCATGGCAGCCTTTCAGATTTCCTGGATCCAGAAACAGAAAATGGGAGGAACTGACACAGGATTGCCAGCTTTGTCGAGAGTGTACATTAAAAGAAACAATTAAAATGTTAAAAGGACAACCTTCTGTGATCACCAACTTTCATGAGAGACGAGAGAGGGAGGGAGAGGGGGGGGAGGGATGGAGGGAGCTTTATTTGCGCCAGCTGCCCCAAATCCTTTTTGGAAAAACTGTACCATAAACCAGCATGGCAGCCTTTCAGATTTCCTGGATCCAGAAACAGAAAATGGGAGGAACTGACACAGGATTGCCAGCTTTGTCGAGAGTGTACATTAAAAGAAACAATTAAAATGTTAAAAGGACAACCTTCTGTGATCACCAACTTTCATGAGAGACGAGAGAGGGAGGGAGTGGGGGGGGAGGGATGGAGGGAGGGGGGAGGGCAACCTGAAACAAGGGGGAAAGACACAATGTCCAAGGAACTTTAACTCAAACACAAAGACAGGGTCCTGCTCGCAGGCTCGAGGTGGCGTCCAGCTGGCCACCCACACGCCCTCAGCCCCTCAACCCTGCCGGCCCCTTCTTGGTGGTCGTGCCCCTCCTCTCCGGGCCTCCCTGGACTGGCCCCCCATCTCCACCTCTTGCCCCACCCTCCCAGGCCCAGGCCCCCAAGTCCAACAGCGACGGCCGTGGCATCTCAGGCTCCAGGTAGTTGGCATGAAGGGTTTTGTGGAGAAATGCATTTGTGACTGCTGGGCCAGGAGGCGGCGGCAGCCTGGGTGGACAGGGCTGGATCAGGAAGCCCAGGAGAGGGGGCTCAGAGCTCAGGGGAGGCCTGGCTGAAGCCCAGGCCAAGGACCCACTGGTGCAGCCGTGGCGGCGGCGTCCGGCCACCAGGGTCTGTGGTCAAAGGCCTGTGACCCACACGCCCACGTCTCACTTTACCCTGGTGCATCCAGCTGTCTGTCTCCTCAGGCCTGTGCACTGGCTGTGACCCCTTTGCTTCCCCCACTGTCGCTCCCCCCACCCAACCCCCAACCCCCAACCCCACTTAGACCTGAATCCACAAGTCAGCTCCTCAGAGACACCCTTCTGACAGGTCCGTGTAAACCAGTCCCCACCTCGAGTCATCCGATTGGTGATCACGCTCAGTCACAGAAACGCCCGTCCCCCCAGCCCTGACCCCGCAGAGCGTCAGAGGGCCTGCTCCAAGCCCCACACCACAGCCAGGGGGCACGCGCCGCCTCCAGCATCTCCACCGTGCAGATAGGACGGGAGGCTCAGAGAGGCCAAGCCACTCACCCCAGGTCACACAGCAGAGAAGCCGGGAGACCTGGCTCCGGGGCCCAGCAGGGCAGTGAGGGGAGGAAAGACCTGCCTGACCCTGGTTGCTGCCCCGGAGCCCAGGCCCCCTTCTGAAAGGTCCTGGGCTTCTCTGTCCAGTGGCCCCTGGGTGAGGTGGCCAGTGGGGACATCAACTAATTGGCCCAGGTGGCAAGCAGCACCTCACCCCGGGCACAGTCCAGCTGCCCACCCTAACCCCGCCAGGCTGAGTCCTCACCAGCCGGTGCTGGGAGGCCTCCCGGATCCAGCGGATGTTGTCCACGTACTGCTGCTCCACAGCCGGATTCACTGCAGGGAGAGGGGAAAGGGTGTCACAGGCACCGGGAGCCCCTGCCCCATGGTGGGGGGTGGCACAGACCCTCCCTCGCAAAGGCTGCAGGGCAGAGGCACCTGTTTGTGTCCACAGATGGACCCACAGATGGCCTGGAGCAGCTGTGACACGGAGACGCAGAGGGGCCCGGACATGAGGGAATGGCGCAGATGGACACAGGGGCGGCTACAGGGAGCCAGAACACCATCAACAGGCACCACCCAAGGATGTACCCTGTGCCCATGGGGCCAGGCCGGGGACCGGCAGGGGACCATGTGTCCAGGCTGCCCAGCACCGCCAGGCAGGTGTCTATCGGAGCCTCTGGGGGTCACCTGTGCGCCAGCATCTCCAACCAACAGTCTCACCTCCACCAGCAATGGCCTCCTCCAGCACTGACGTGGCCAGCTGATCCGTGACCACCAGGTCCTGCGGGTCCCCGGATGTGCACACCCAGCGGAAAGGCCCAAATCCCTGGGAGAATATGTCCCTGCAAGGGCAAAAGCCTCGTCACCTGGGGGCTTCCGGGCTGGCTGCACCCCCTGACTGGGGTCACCATGGTCCATGGTCGGCGAGGCCGCAGATGCTCCGGAACTGAGGAGGTGAGGGCTGTGCGCCAGGCGGGTGGTTCGTGGGGGCCTGTGTAGTGAGTGGGCGTCAGTGTCCACAACTGCTGCCGGAAGCCCCTAAGCCACGAACTGGACGGTAACTTCCCCCAGCCCCCTCTGTCCCCTCGGTGTCCTTTCCCCCAGCTCCCCTCTCAGAGCTGTACCATCTCTGGCTGCAGGAGCAGGGAGCTGGGACACAGACAAGCAGAAATTCCTTAAATCGCTGTTGGAGACACAACCTGAAAACCAGGCAACTGCAACTAAATATTGGGACAAACAGCAAAGTTAAAGCCAGATCTGCTGTAACTGGGCTGACCCTCCGAGGGGCCTCCCGGCAGAGGAACACAGCGGCCTCCCTGGGCTCCCGCGCCCACTGCCCCCTGGGGACACCCCAGTGGCCCTGGCCCAACTCTGGCCCCTCCCCTCCCACAATGAACCTCAGAAGGACGCGGGCCTCTCTTCCCCCCCGGGGGCCCCCTCCGGTGCAGATCCGGGGCTGCTGCCCACCCCACCAGACCCCAGCGGCTCAGGCCCGACCTCCATCCACCCTGTCTTCTCCCTCCGGCCGCTCCCTGGTCCCTGCTTGTTCCGGCCCACGTGGCCAGGAAAGCACACAGGCTGCAGGGATCAGGCCCTCCGCCGCCCACTCGTGGCTCGGGTGTGGCGGATCCTGTTCTCTCCCTGAGGCCCTGCACAGGGTCTCTCGTTTTCAGCGCCTTTCCCCCTGCATTTTGGGGTGGAAAGCCCGTGACCCGGTGCCGTGACCACTTGGGGCCGAATGTAGGCCTCAGCACGTGGCCTGAGCAGCGGGGAGAGGAGATCTTCAGACCTGCATGTCTAGGACAGACACTGGAAGGGCCCATCACTCACCCCATAATGTGCTGGACGTACGACGGGTAGCGGAACTCCGTCCTGTTGGCGCCCGTCTTCCCCACGTCAGCCCCTGTGCGCAGAGACCCAGCATCACCTGGAGAAACCCAGGCCCGGCGAGACCAAGGCCCTGGCAGGGCCAGCTTCCAGAAGGGACACGTGGAGCCGACCCGCGGGCCACACTGCCCCGCCCACGAGGCCTGCAGAGCGGGGACCCCCCCCCTCCCTTCTCTCTCACCTGCTCTCTGGGCCTCCAGGAGGAAGGCGTTGCCATAGTCCCAAAAGAAAAAGTTCTCCTGGGCCAGCCTGTTGATGGCCGAGACGTGCCTCCTCAGGCTGCGAGAGGTGCGGTCAGTGGTCAGCTCAGCACCGCCCGCCAGGGCTGTCACCGCAGCCGAACCCCACGAGCCCCACCTCCCTGCTGACTCTTCCCCCAGCTGACCCCACCCCTCCTGGCTCCACCCCAGCTGACCCCACCCCTCCTGGCTCCACCCCCTGCTGGCTCCTCCCCCAGCACCTCCTTCCTGGAAGCCCCCGGTCCCTGCCGGCTCCTCAGGTTCCCCTACCCTTCAGAACCCTGCAGGCAGCCCCTAAACTAGCGCCTATGGGTCGGGTCGTCAGCCAGCCAGCCCGGCGCCGCCAGGACCAGACTCAGTGCTGAATAAGCAACTGCCTCTTGCAGAAGTGCCTCAGGCTCCCCTCCACCAGCACCTGCTCAGCACTCACACGTGCTGGAAGCTGGCCCCAGTGTTTTGCAAATGTCACCCCAGTCTGTTCCCAGCATACCCACAGACCAGGGAGCCCATGACCCCGTGTGACAGAGGAAGAGACAGAGGCCCAGAGACGTTAAGGGTCTTGCCCGAGGCCACACAGCTGCCCCTGGAGAACTGGGCAGAGGCCAGAGCCTCCCAGTCCGAAGCTCCTGCAGGCCATGTGTGCCCCCATCCCTCCCCCGAGCAGCCCTGGGAACTGCATCACCTTTCCTGGACCAGGGCTTTGAAGGCAGCAGGGTCGGAGGCCATGAGGCTCTGGGCCTCTGCGAAGCCCAGCTGAACGGGGTAGTAGCCACCGTTGAACGGGTTGTGGCAGGACGTCTGGTCTGACCCCAGGTCCACCAAAAGCTCCCCCGTCATGTCCAGTTCACGGACCAGGCGCTCCCTGGGGAGACTCAGGTGGTCAGGGCAGGGCAGCCAGTGCCGGGGCCCGAGCTCAGGGTCCAGCCAGGGGGGCACGCAGCGTTTCCCAGCCCACACGCCCAGTCGTCAGGCATGGAGGCTCATCCTGCTTTCCCTCTGGAAAGATCCCTGGTGGGAGGGCTGCCTGGCTGGGCAAAGGCTGCCGTGAGCCCGGCTAGGACCCGGGCCATGAAGGTCGGGAGCAGAGCCTCAAGCTGACACTGGAAGCCTTGTGTCCCGGGAGCACCTGGCCCGGGACCTTGGCTGGGGGGGCTCACCTGGTGTCCCCAAGGCTGCCAACTCCCCCCACTCACCAAAGATCCACCACGTTGCCATGGTAACCAAGGCTGAGGGCCTCCTTCCTCTTCCTCGCTTCCCTGGAAGGGGCAGGGGCAGGACAGATGGCCCATCACACCTGCCCACGGCTACCCACCCCCAACACACAGGCCCCAAGCTGGTGGGGATGCAGAAGGCCCAGGAGGCACCCAAAGCACCTCGTGTGAGCGCAGGCCTGAGATGCAGGGACCCATGAGGTACGTCTTTTGAGGACCCAGGCCTGAGGGGAACAGCAGACTTGAATGCCCTCGGGAGGGCTGGCTGGCAAAGGTGACAATCCCTCCCCGCCCCAAGGTGTAGAATTCGATTAGTAGAATTAGGGCTGTTGCTGCGAGGACTCTAACAGGGATCTTTGTAGAACTCACTCAAGGCTACCCTTAAGTTGCAGGTGTCACGAAAGATGACTCTAAACATTATTTGCGGGACTTCCCTGGTGGCACAGTGGTTAAGAATCCGCCTGCCAGTGCGGGTGACAGGGGTTCGAGCCCTGGCCGGGAAGATCCCACATGCCGCGGAGCAGCTAAGCCCGTGCACCACAACTACTGAGCCTGTGCTCTAGAGCCCGCGAGCCACAACTACTGAGCCCACGAGCCACAATTACTGAAGCCTGCGCGCCTAGAGCCCGTGCTCCGCCAACGAGAAAAGCCACTGCAATGAGAAGCCCGCGCCCCGCTACGAAGAGTAGCCCCCACTTGCTGCAACAAAGGCCCGATGCAGCCAAGATAATAATAATAATAATAAATAAATAAACATTATTTGGAAAAATAAAAGGACAAAAAATGAAAGCATATTGGGGGGAAACAGACCTGAATACATGAAAACCCCACAGACATGGGAGGGTCGCCATTGCCATCTCTGCATCTCCGCAGCTCAGGGAGCAGAAATGTGACCAGACGGCTGCTTACGGCATTTGTTACCCTGATTTGGACTGTGTGTGTTCATGCGTGTGACCGCGGGATTAAGGACCCAAACTTTGTGTGACAAGAGGGAGCCGGCATATGGAAGCGGGACATTTAGAGATGACAGAAATGCCACACTGGTCGCGAGCGTGTGTGTGCGGGTGTGCGAGCGGGCACGTGTGCTCCAGATGCACCCACAGGACCGAAGCCAGATCAGGAGAAACCCTTCATGCCACACTAGGAGGCTGGAACTTCTCCTGTGATTAGTGGAGAGTTTTCTGCCAGATTGCAAAGATCTATGTCCAAAAAGTATGCAGTCTTGGTAATGGGAATATTTCTCCCACTCTGTGTGTCTTTGAACATTTTTACATAAGCCCCCCGGAGACCTTGGGCGAGTCTAATTGCAGCAGGTGGAGCCCCCTGTGCAGAGGCGAACTCCCCACATGGGGCTCAGTTCTGCAGAGCAAATTCGTTGAGAGGATGCTTCAAACAGGGCACCTGATCAGCGGTCTCCAGGGCAGCCCTGCCCCATCCCCACTGAGATAGCTGAGGAGACAGCACGCAGCCGGGAGGGGCCCAGCGCCACAGGACCAGCAGTGGCCCCCATGGGGAGGAGGACGGGCCTTGCAGAACCTGACGGGGTCCTGTTGAGGAGAAGCTCCACCTCCCAGGGGTTGAGCAGATCCAAGCAGCACCTACTGTGTGCCAGGCTCTGGGCTGGACACTGAGGCACCACGGGGAGAAACGCAGGACATGCTCTTTGCAAAACTGTGGTCGAGCGTCAGTGTCACCGAGAAAACTACTGAAGTCTGTTAGACCACGTGTATGGGCCCCACGGATGCACACGGGCTTCCCCCACGCTCGCGGAAGGGACCAGCGAGCAGAGAAACTTCGAAGGTCCCAGCCCGGTCTCCCCCCGAGCCGGACACTCTACCTGAGTCTTTCAATGCAGCGGTCCAAGCTGTCGGTCACTTCCATCAGCCAGCCTTGCTTGTGGCGTTTCATGAGGGCCGCCCCATCCACCTGGGACCACGAGGCACGGGTGTAGATCACCCCCTTTCCCAACAGGGCCAGGCAGACCCTACGAGCTGCTGTCAGTACTTACTCCCCCTCCTGCCTTGCATCAGCAAACCTGGATTTCACTCAGGGTGACGCTGTGCTGGGCCCCAGGGGATGAATCACATCCTACCTAATCACAACTGCCCTCCCACCGCTTCCAGCCTCCCTGGCGGATAAGAACATCCGTTTGATCCCATACTGACTGATGAAGAAAAAAGAGGAGTTTCTAAGGCATTATTTTCCCGCTAAAATAGAGTCAGCATAGCTGGCACTTCTCCTTTGCCCTGCCTTGAATGTAGATGGGATGGCTGGGGCCGGGGCAGCCACTGGTGTGTGCACAAGGGAAGCCCGAGAGAATCTAGAGGCGTTGCCCCTGACATTGAGCTGCTGAGCCAATGCCAGCCCTGCTGGTTACGTGAGAAAAATAAAACCCTCTTTGTGTAAGCTGCTCTCCTTGGGTTTTCTGTCACCTGCAGCCAAGTGGGCTCCTAACAAGTACACCTGTGCGTGTCCACAGGCTTACTATCGGCCAAGCGCAGATCCCACGGGTGCGTGCCCCCATGCTTTCCTCACGGCCGCCCCTCCTCTTCCGCTCCCTTCCCCTCTTCCCGCCGGAGGAACTCAGAGCCAGAGGGAAGGCTCCTGCGCTCTCCCCAGCTCTCCACCCACCGACTGACCGACCGACCGCTCTGTCCGATATGGGGGAACCTGGCTCACTTATTCACAGGCTGTACTCCAGGGACCCAGGGCAAGGGAAGCCAGGCCTCAGGGTGGCGGTTTCACGGCAGAGTGTAGGCAGGCACTAGCCCTGGCAGGTGATGGGCACTTGGAAGGCAGGGGCGTTCGCTGCCCTGGGGACCCAGGCTGGGAGGCTTGGGGGGTGAGGGCGAGAGAAGAGGGGGCAGGCGGGGGTGGGGGGGCTCTGGAGGGGGGCGGGGAGACGCTCCCGCCAGCTCACCTCTGCAATCACGCCGACACACCCCACGATGACGGCGGCTTTGGCCTGAGCCCCACTCATCCCGCCGAGCCCGGAGGTGACAAAGACCTTCCCGGCCAGGTCCTGGACGCCCAGGTACCGCCGCCCGGCATTCAGCACGGTGAGCTGCAGGGTGAGGACTCGGGTTCACGATCCACGCCAGCCTGTCCACCCCCAGGCCCGTGGGCAGGCGTGGCCCGTCTCTCACCACTGTGCCATGGACGATGCCTTGGGGACCAATGTAGCAGTAACTGCCCGCCGTCATCTGGCCGTACCTGCCCACGGAGGGGGAAGCGGGGTGAGCCGGTGCCTGGCGCCCCTCTTCACATGGCCTGAAACGCACTGTCATCACCCCAAGTGCAGCACTACCTTCTCCTTCAGAGACAAAAGAAAGCTATAGAAAAGGCCACAGCCCCCATTTCTGGTCCCACTCAGACCTTTCACAGACAGATTTCATTCTCCAAACAACTGTAGTCAAATCACCGGGGAACATTTAGCCATGTGGACAAGAGCTGACACGGCGCAGCACCTCCAGGCGAGGATGAGTCCCCACGCCGTCCCGTGGTGGCCAAACCTGGGGGAGCTGAGCCGCTCCTGCAGGAGGAGACCCGGGGCCGGGGCAACACAGAGCGGAAAGGGCCGCGGCCTCCCGGCAACACCCCGAATCCAGACAGTCTGCGGGATTCCGGTCCCGGGACGTCCAGACACCGTCACCGGGGCCGGGGAGGGGAGCTCTGCCACCCGTCAGGGGACACCTGAGACTCGGGTGCGGCACGCAGGGCAGAGTCCAGCGAACGGCGTTAGTTTTGTGTGAGCGGTCACTGCTATTTACATAAATGGCCTTGTTCTGTAGGCACTGTTTCTGGAGCTGTGTTTCCCCCAGACACAAGGCCTGTACGGGCCTTTCCATGTCAGCATCCGCAGACCTTTCGTGGCTCCACAGTCAATCCCATCAGAGGTCACAGGATGTCCCCTCTCCCTGTTGGTCAGCCGGGTGGCTTGGCTGGGCCACAGGACAAGGCTGCGGTAAGCGACCTCCCTGGCCCTGCCGTGCCCTCCGGGGTAGAATCCAGGAACGGGGTGCCGGGGCATCAGTGCAAACGTTTAAAGTACTAATAGACAGCATCACATTCCAGAGTGACTGTCACCAGCAGGGCACAAGCACTCCTGTTTGCATCATATGATAATTATCCAACATTTGAGTTTCTGGCAATATGATGGGAAATTTTGCTGTTGCCTTAGATTTACTCTTCCCTGAGGACCACCGAGGTCAGGAGATCCTCGAGGCTGCTGTCCCCCAGCCACTTTCTGGACCTTCTCTCCTCTGGATCAGGGTGGATCCTGATTCTCGCAGATCGGAATGCCAAGCCTGTCCCATAACTGGGACAAAGCACTGGACCATGTAGAACCTCTGCTTCCTCCTCCAAAAAACGGGGAGTCATGACCTCTGCCTTGCAAGCTTGTGTGAATATGACAGGATGTAAGAGAATCATGCTGATATCATAGACATCTACCAGGGAGGCGGGTGAAAGCATCAGACCCCGCCGCAGGGCGTGCTCCCTGGTGGCTGCCACCCATGGCGCCTTTACAGATAGGATCCGAGTTCCCAGGTGGCCCAGGGACACGCGGCAGGGCTGGGAAGCGATTCCGAGTCCTTCTGATTCCATCCCTTGTCGCACCTGATCCACTGCTGCTGCTCCTGAGATTCAGTCTTGGGGGTAAAATCCTGGGGTCCGAGTTGTCTCCATTTGCGGCTTTGACTGCAGTCACTGGATGTGGCCCTCCCGCGCCCCCAGCCTTGCCGTATAGACCTTGACACCCCAGCCTGTGGCTGCCTGTTCCCCCATGTACCCCCCCACCACGGAGAGGACCAGTTCCACTTTTGTCAGCCTGACAGTGAAAAGGCTTTGCCCTGGTCAGCGGTTCTCAGATTCCTTATCCAGGTAACCCCTTCCCACCTCTATGGTGATTTGCATCTTCTCTTTGGTCAAAGAGTGCTGCCTGGGGTCAGCACTCAGGGGCAGCCAGACCAGGTCTGACTCTGCAGCTCTGCCCCTTTAAACTTCTCTCCTGAGCTTGCAGGACAGCAGCACAGGGGCTGGTCCATGGCCACATTCAGGACGCCGACCAGACACCGACTATCCCTCTGCTCCCACTGGTACAGAAGAGGTCGTCAGGCCTCATAATAAATAATAGTAACAGCAACTTATTATATAATAACTGTAACTACTTATGACGAAGGAAAAAGGTAATTGGGTTTCTGAGCCTCAGTTTCTTCCTCCACAAAATGGGTTAATAAGGGCCCCTAGCTCAGAGGCTTCTGTAAATCCTAGAACAAGTGGCAGCGACCATGATTACAATCATTCATAGGATCTCAGCCTGAGGCCCAGCGGGTTGGCCCCCGGCGCGGCAGACTTGCTCTCACACTTTACGTGGTTACGATGCCAGCGCACCGCTCCCAGAGACCCACAAACACGTGCAGATCAGGGCTGTCCTGTCGCATTCTTTACATTCCCGGAACACTGGGAACAACCCAAATCAGGTGGCAAGTGAGCTAAATAAATAACAGCGCAAGCGAGCACTGCCGGTGAAACCCAGCAAGTCAGCCCGAACCCCCAGGAGGGGACAGGTGCAGAGGGCGTGGTCCCTGGCTGTCGAGTCACCCCCGCCGAGCGTCCGCACACGCACGGGATGTCGGGCAGGACACAGGAGACGCTGTGAATTGGGGCGTCTGGGCGGGAGGAGGTTCCCTTCTTGCTGTGGCTCCTTCTACAACGTCTGAGGGAACACCTCCAATCGGAGCGCTAATGTGACAGCGCGCTCAGGGGCTGCACAGACACACGCGTCGTCAGAGCTCACAGAACGGAGCACGTGACGTGCGCGTTTGCGCATTCGTGACATGTAAATTTCACTTCAAGACCAAGAAAACTGTGGGGACTTCCCTGGCGGTCCAGTGGCTAAGACTCCGTGCTCCCAATGCAGGGGTCCCAGCTGGATCCCTTGTCAGGGAACTAGATCCCACACGCATGCCGCAACTAAGAAGCCCGCATGCTGCCACTAAGAAAGTCTTCATGCTGCAACTAAAGATCCCGCATGTTGCAACTAAGACCCAACGCAGCCAAATAAATAAATAAACATTAAAAAAAGAAAAAAATTATGGACAAATACTGAATTCCAGGCAACAATATTTGCAGCTTACTTTGAGATGCATCAAAAAAACGATCGTGGATATAGGGATGGGTAGACAGACAGATAGGAGATCAAGTGAATTTAGTAGCATATTAATCACAGAATCTTGGTGTTCCCTATTAATTCTGTCAATTTTCTGTATGTTTGAAACCGATAGTAAATTGTTGCAAAAGTAGGATTCACATTGTAGGTTCATTTGCTCACACCTATGTGAAAATTGTAGGCATATCTATGAAAACTAGCAGAAAATACATAAATGCGAAGCCGTGCTGTAGAGCTTTGGTTGTGAGGCTTTTTGCAAAGCCGCAGTTACTGCTGCTGCACTGCTCATAATAAAGCCTGGCGGAGGCCGTAACACAAGCGGAAACAGTACTTACATGGTAACCCCCATGGCGAAGAGCTTCTCATACTCCACCCTGGAGGAGTAGTTGGGAATGACCTGCACAAGAGGGCTGGGCTGAGGGCTGCGGGCAGCGCCGTGCCCTTGCGGACGATGGCTCGGTGGGTGTGCGGGCACCTGGCCCTCCCCGCTGCCCTGGGACCCACCATCCCATTGGTGATGACCAGCCTCGGGGCCCCGGGGCTGCTGGGGAAGAGGCCCAGGGGGTGTCCGCTATACATGACCAGCGTCTGCTCCTCTGTCATCTGGGACAAGTAGGACATTGTCAGCCAGAACTGTGGGGAGAGCGAAACACGGGGGCTCTGTGAGCGGGGGCCCTGCACCAGCCCCAAGTCCCCCCCACCCCAGGCCCTAGCCGTCCTGCCCAGAGCCCTCTACCCTCCAGTGGCTCTCCCTCAGGACCTCCGACGTCCCCAAGTAGCCTCCAGGGCTGGGATCTCAGGCATCGGGGAGGCAGAGCCTGAGTCCTGAGCCTGGTCTGTAAGGTGCTTCCAGGCCAGAGGACGTGGGGGAAGAAAGGCCTGGGGGTCAGGGTGGGGCCAGGCCACACAGTCCAGCGTACCTGAGCCCAGTTGCTGAACACCTGCCCATTTCCTCCGTAGGTCACAAGCTCCTGGGGAAACTGGGGAGGACACGATGCTGTCTGAGATGGGGGCCTGGAAGGGAGGCCCCTGCCTGCGCCGGGCTCAGGGTCCAGGTGGCCGATGGCCTCCGAAGGACGAGTGGGGGGCAGGGGAGGAGCCAGAAGGGGCAAGGCCCGGGACAGCGGCCCACCCGTGACCGGGTAAGTGCTCAGCCTGGGGTGAGCGTCAGAGCTGGGTCTGAGAAAACTCCCGCCACTACCTGGAGTGGTCACATCCTAGGACCCTTTCACCCTCAAGTAAAATACTCAGGGATCCCCGAAGCCTAACCTTCCTTGAATATGGGTGTCAGAGGTACAGACTGGCGCTCAAGGATGCCGGGAAAGGCACGTGTAGCCACTGAGCACTTGAGCCACAGCCCGTCTGACAAGCTCTAGGGGTAAAATATACACCTGGTTTCAAAGACTTAGTAGGAAAAAGAACACTACAAAATATTTATATTGATGATTACATGTTAAATGATAATATTTTGGATACATTGGGACAAACTACAGTATTAAATCTGTTTCTTTTCAGTTTGCATGTGGCTCTTAGAAAATGTAAAATTACATGTGTGTCTCTTGTACCAATGCTGGTGTCGTCGTGCTGATGCTGCACCGTAGCTACCGAAAATGCAGCTGGCGGGGGCACCCTGGAGAAGGGGATGATGGCCTCTCTGCACTGTCTTTGCAACTTCCCTCAAATCTACCATTATTCCTAAATTTAAAAGCTTGAGAGCATTTCATGCGTTTCTCCCATTCCGTTTCCACTACTGGCCCCTGGCCCCCGTTTCCTGGCCTTTACCTGGGCCACGGCAGGGTCCAGGTTGTTCATGATCATGTGCATGATAGCTGCAGCCACTCTCGTCCGGCAGGGGTACTGCTCCACTGGGTAGGCCCTGCAAAGGGGGTGCAGCTGCCAGGCCCGACGATGGGCGGGCACAGGCTTCCTTCCAGCCTGGGCTGGGTGCAGAGGTGGACAGCAAGCCCTGGCATCCCGCAGAAGGCGCCTTGGAACTCCGCCCTCCCGCTTTGTGCCGGGCCCCTCCCACCCAGCCCGCCCTCCCTCCCCAGTGGGCAGCCTCCAGCTGGGACAAAGAGGACTGCAAAGCAAAGCTGAGGGCCCTCCTCCAGGTGGACTCGATTCATCCGTCCTTTCCTTCGGGCCATCAGTGCTCCTGGGTACCCATTCTGCAGTGGGTGCCAGGCCAGCAGGCCCAGACAGGAGCGAGGGCACGTGGCTCCCGCTTTGCGGGGTCGTTCCAGACAGTCTGCGCTTCTGGCATTTCCAAGAACAATGGTGCTCAGAGTGTGATGCCCGGGCAGGGGCAGCATCTCCTGGGGACGGTGAGGAAGGCAGATCCTCCTGCCTGGACCTGGCTGCAGCCCCACCAAGCCTGCCCCAGGGCAGACGCATCCATGGGCCTCCTAGTGGGAAGAGCCTGGTCCTCCCCCTCACTGTGTCCTGGCCCCCAGCAGGTCCCTCCAGGGAGCCTCCCACCCTGGGCCCCTGTGGATCTGTGGCCGCAGCACTCACCTCATTTCAAGCTCGGGGCAGAAGCGGTACATATAGATGTGTCCATACAGCCGCAGCTCCTGGGCGAACTCGGGGGCCAGCAGCTCCTGCGTGTCCGGGGGGAAGTACCGGAGGGCGTTCCTCAGCGCCAGCTGGGGGTGGGGGAAGGGGAGAGAGGTGAGGAGGGCGGGGGTGCGGGCTCCAGGCCAAGACCTCCCCACCTGGATTTGCCTCTGCTCCACTCAGAAACCCAGGGCCCCGTCCGGAGACTGCCTGGTCCTCACCCAGGGCCAGTCTACCGTGACGCCTCCTGCAGGAAGCCTTCCCTGACTGCCCTTCCTGCTTCCTGTCGGCAGCCCTCGAGTCCCTCCCTCTTCTTGATCACCGGGGGACCAGGCTGCTTGACCCAAGGCAAGGACCAGAGAGGGGCTGCCCCGAGGCCTGTGGCTACGGCGGCAGGTGCAGACTAAGGGGGAGGGCAGGCTGACAAGCCAGGGCCAGAGGCTCCTTGTGCAAGTGTGGGGCAGCACCCAGCGTGGCTGGTAGCCTCGGGCGGCACACAGCTCCGGGAGGCCCAGGGCAGTGCCTGGAGCCGGCGACAGGCGCCCAGGAGCAGGAAGGAGCGTCTAAGGCTTCTCATCGCCCACCGTGGAGAGCAGCGCAACTCCTGCCCCCGTCAGCCTTCTCCAGGCGGCCCTCGTGCTCCTGTCCGGCCCCTTCCCTTCCCGCTGCCCCAGCCCCCGTGCCAGCTGCCTCCCTGGGAGCCCCCTCCTCGAAGCCCCAGTCCAGACGCCCGTCCTTGGGGGCCCGCCTTGACCATGCGGTCTTGACTCTCAGCAGCCCCATGCTTCTCTCCCAGCCAGGCTCTGCGTCTTTGGACGCTTCACCATTGGCTCCTTGCCTCCCATCAGTCTCGTTGAGCTCAAGCAGGGCCAGGGTCCCGGCGGACCCTTCACAGCGCTCCCCCTCCCACCACCCGGCAGGAGCCTGCGGCTGGGGGTGCGGGGTGACGACCCTGTGTCGGGACGGACGTCGAGGCCGTCCAGCACCGCGTGACAAGGGTGTCACTGGGGGCCTGGGGGCACGTGGGGTGGGAGGAGAGAGGAGGGGGAGGGCGGTTCAGGAGGAAGCCGAGGGCAAGAAGGGCAACGAGGGAAACTCCAGCTCAGGAGTGACGGGGACTTGACAGGGTTTGCACAGCGAGTCCCTCTCTAAGGTCCACGTGGAATAAAGCACGTAATCCCTGCTCTCTTGGAAAAATCGAAAGGCGGCTTGAAATACGTCCACGGGCGGGGCTCAGACTCCAGCGGACTTGAGAATCGCCCAGAGGGTCAGGTGCATCCGGAGGGCTGGGCCCGCCCGCAGCGTCTCTGACTCATGTTTCTGACGGGTTCCCAGCTGCTGCTGCTGGTCTGGGACCCCCGGGGAGGCATGAGCGAGCCCCACGCAGCAGCAGGGCGGGAGGGGAAGAGGCCGGCGTGGGAAGGGCACGCTGCAGAGGGCCAGGGACACGGCTTCAAGGACAGGCAGGGCTAGGCGTGCGCCAGAGCTCAGGAGGGCTGGGCCCTTCAAGGTGGTGCCCGGTCGCCTCGGCCTGGGCCTCTGGGGCCCATGTTACACCTCGACGCAGAGGTTGGGTGGTTTTTTCTATCAGTGTACAGCTTCTAATCAGAGCTTGCCAAGAGAAACTGAACATTTACAGAAAAGTTTCAAAAGCAACGTGTCACACACACACACACACACACACACTCCACGGGAGGCGTGACCTTACTACACGGGTCCTAATACATCCTACCCAACTGTAGCTTCTTTTCTTTCATTTTCTAACGAATACTGGTTCCGACCCGCTAAGCCCACTTCACAGCTGGTGGGCTATTTCTCCTTGTGTACAATTTCCATCTCAGGATTCCTGAGTTTCTCTTCGTCCCTGAAGTTCAGAAAATTAGCCTGGATATGTCTTCATGTGGACTGTTGTACATTGGGGCTTCTTTTTGTTCTCTCGACGATAAACTGTCTTTTTGTCTGAAATTTCACATTTTTACTAGTCCAGCAAAGTTGTCTTCTGTTGTACTTTTCTTCAATAACTTTATCTTCTGTGTCTGAATTTACGTAACAGGCCTGCAGTGACTATTTCTTAAGTGAAAAAATTTAAAAAGCAGCAGCTCTGCTGGTCTGGATTCAATACTCCAAGCTCTGAATGGGGGCATTTCTCGGGGTCAGGACGAGAAAATGCAATTCGGACAGGCGTGTGACCCGCCCCCGGGGGGGATGAGAGGCAGCCTCAGCAGAGGAGGCCCCATGAGGACAGGCCAGGTGGAGAGGTGGGACGGTTTCCCAATGAGCTCGGAAAGGCAGGCACAGCTGCCTACCGGGCCCTGCTAAGCACCGGCTGGACCAGCCCGGGAGGCCGCCCGCCTGCTTCTGCATCTCTCGGGGCGCCAGCTTGGCCGTGTCGCTGGAAGGACTAATGAGATAACACGCACGGCCCAGCACACAGTGCAGCGCTGCGCCCTCCTGTTCCTGTAAAGACACCCAAGCCAGAGCCTGGGGCATTTCCTGCTTCTCCCCCTCCCGAGCTTTGCAGCTTCCTTGTTAAAAGGTCTTCAGTTTACTTCAAATGCTGCCAGGAAGAGCCCGTGGGGGCCACACTTGGGGATTCACCCCCAGGGTCAGCTGGCGCTCATGCCGCAGTGCTACCGCCTCAGCTCCACGGCAAGTCTGCCCCGGAGGGTCTGCTGTGTAGCACGTGGATTTTCACAGGTGAGATTGTGGCCTGTTAATCATAGAAGGCAGTTATCAGTGCGCTCTTACTGGCAAAATCAGAAGCATCTAAGGCACATAAACCGGACAGAATTCCAGAGACCTCCATCTCGCCGACCTTGACCTCACAGGCATAAGAAGTGGACAAGCTCAGGGGCCTGTACCCTTAGGATCATGGGATTATTTCATAAAAGTCCCGTGTTCAGCCATTGGGCTGGAGAATTCTGGGTGCCTGATGGGATGGGGAACAGAATTATGGCCCCCACCGATGCCCACGCCCTATTCCCCGGGAATATATTACGTTACATGGCAAAAGAGACTTTGCAGATGTGATGACGGAAGGATTTTGAGATGTGAGGTGATCCTGCCTATCCAGGTCAGCCCTAGTAATTACAAGCGTCCTTCTGAGAGGAGAGGGGAGGCTCAGAGTAGGAAAGAGGGATTTCAACGTGCTGTGCTGCCAGCTTTGAAGACAGAGGATGGGCCCAGGAGCCCAGGAACGCAGGCGCCCCCTGGAGGCCGGAAAATGATGCAGCAGGGCTGGCGCTTGAGGAGGCTCTGAGGGGAGAGTCCCTGCCCTCGCCTTTTCCGGCCTGCACACCTCACCTCCCTGAGCTTCAGCCTCCTCTTCTGTAAAATGAGCAGACGGCCCCCACCTCACAGGGCTGCTCACCCGGCACCTGGCACACATGGGCCACTGGGGGCCCAGCTGCCAGCACGACCGTCCGCACACTCATGGCCTCCACGCCGGGCCCCTGTCCACCTGGGCCCCCAGGAGCTCTGCCCCAGCCCTCGCTCTCTGTGGGCAGCACGCCAAGCAGCAACTCACACTCCTGCTCTGAGACCTTCATGGGCTCCTGAGACAGTGCACACTGGTAGGCATCCAGGCCCCCCAGTAGTCAGGCCGGGCCTGGCTCTTGAGGTCGGCACCCAGCCTGGGCCTACGCGGGGCCTCGTCCACCCCAGCTCACTTTGCACAGGCCCGTCTCTGCATCTCCGCTCACTGCCTCCTTCTGTCCCAGATGCCTCGCCTCTCAGATCTCCAAGTCTGGGAACCTTGCCCCTGGTGCCAAGACCACCTCCTCCAAGAAGCTTTCCTAGGTTTCTCCTGCCCGCTGAACTCTTGGAGGGTGTTGGTTCGGGCGCTTAGCACATGGTCTTGTTCACTCATTCAACAAACAGCTCTGACATCGCTGAAGACCCAGAAGTGAGCCCCACAGAACCCCACCCTGAGGAAGCTGAGGATTATGGTCAGCAGTGGTGTGAGGTCTTCAGACCTGGGATCTCAGGTCCAGCACAGCCCCTGAGGGTGGGGCACGCTTTGGGGAAATATCGGTAAGAGAAGCTGCACGTGGGGGAGCGGGGATGCCGAGGACGTCTCTAACAGGATGTGACGAGACCCTCCCTCTGCACCACAGTCCCACAGTGACTGAAACGCGACAGCCAGACCATCCTCTGCGTTTCAACAGAAATCCACTTAAAGAAGAACAAAGTGTGGAGCACGTTTTCGTTCATCCAAACCACGAAAAACAACAAAAGTTCAAACAATGGGGCAGCTCCAAACCCACCAACACGAACAGCCTCAAAAGAAACCAGCCTGTATGGAAAGCTTCCACTTATGCTTTTAAGGATGGACACACACACCTTGTGCGCACATAGAAAGTGTCTGGAAGGAGATACCAAAAGATTATAAAATGTTACAATATTTGACTTATCTCTTAAAACTACCTTTAAAAGCTTATGTCAAAATTCAAAGGGACGTTTAAATAAAACAGAAAACCAGCCACAGGAAAGCGTAAAGCCGGCTGCTGAGGAAGCCGTCCCTGGTTCTGGGCCTGTCCAGGAGGAGCTCTCGTGTCCTCTCGCAGGTCCCGGCGGGGAGTGGACCCGTGGGCCCTCCAACACCCACCGCTCCTCCGACACGGATGGCGTCCTACACTTCAGTCCAGCCGGGACACTGTGGACCGCGGTCCGCCCAGAGCCCACCCACAGGCTAAGGGCTCAGCCCCACCAGACAGCCCCGCTTCAGACGCCAATTACACGCCCCATTGTCGCCTGTGCTCCTGACCAACCAGCTAGAAATGGGGAGCCCACGCCCCTCCGTCAGGCTTAATAATTCGCCAGAATGGCTCACAAAACTCAGGGGAACACGTTCGCCGGTTTATTACATAACAAAGGATGTGATGAAGGGTACAGGTGAACAGCAACCCTCGGCGGGGGCGGGGGAAGGGGAAGGCGCCCCCCTGCACCTCCACGTGTTCACAAACCCAGACGCTGCCAACCCTGTAGCTGGGGGATTTGGGAGGCGTAGGCATGATGGATCATTAACTCCATTCCCGGCCCCTCACGGTGAAAGTTCCAACGTGCAACCACGGCTTGGTCTCTCTGGTGACCAGCCCCGACCAGGAGCCCCCGGAGTGGCCTCCTACCGCGCAGGGAATTGCAGCAGAACCCGGGTCAAAGACCAAACAGCAGCAGGAAGGGGGAGGGGCACAGAGCCATACGCCTCTTTCTCCTTGTCCCCCAGGACCAGCAGGCTGCAGGCTCCCCACTCCCCGGGCACCCACACCGAAGATTCAGCCCCTTCCACAGCTCAGACTCCCCAGACCGCATGTCACCCCACTCCAAGGGCCCGCGCCCTTCAGCTGATCCCATCACCGCCTATCAGGGTGTCCCCTGGGATGCGCAGGCGGCAGAGCCCTCTGGGTCCCCACGCCAAAGGTCGAGGCATTGGCGCCCAGCGGAAAGGTGACCAGGGTGGAAACTCTAAAGTCCGCCTGATCCCCCGGCAGCCCCTCCAGCTTGCACACCCTGTGGCCCCCCTCCCACGGCCGCCCCGGGAGGGCGGCAGCCTCCGTCCGGGTGGCGGGACCCCTCTTTTAATCTCTGCGCTCACTTGTATTTGCTACTTTCCCCCACGGTTCCTGAAGTTGTCAAGCCATCCTCAGTAAAGGAAAACAGGAGAAAGCTCTTTCTCTGCCTCATTCCAGCTGCCTGCGCACACCTGTATGTCACGGTCAGGAGGGGGGGGCACCTGGTGGCTCAGGCTCCGGAAGCTGGGGCGGGACTCGCAGTCCGGTTCCTGAGCTCACTTCGCCTTCCTGGGCTGGAGGCGGCCACAGGCCCCCGCTTGCTGGCTGGGGGATCGTGAGCCCCGGGGTCCCTCCCCATCAGTAAATGGGGGCCGGAGTCCTACACCCCAGGGCGGCCGCTGCGCAAAGAATGAGGGATATTGGGTGTGAAGCGGTCTGGCACACACGGCTCAGAGCAGGACGTGGGCACTGCCCAGCCGGACCACCCAGAGGGCAAACGGCCCTGCGGGAGGGGGCCCAGCCTCTTACCTGCTCCTCAGCGGGGCTGAGGCCGGGGGTCCTGACCGGGGCGTGGGGCACCCCGGCCCAGCGTCCCCGGTTCTCTGGGAGGGGCCGCAAGGGCAGGCCGGAGCACAGCGCCTGGAGGCTGGACATGTCTGGCAGAGGCGAGGCGGAGGCCCACTCTGCGGGGGCCGCGGAGAGCCTGGGCCGTCGAGGTCCGGCTGGGCGGGGTCCTCTGGCTCCAGGCCCACCCCCTCCAGCCCCTCATTGGGCCCCGGGCCTCCGGAAGGAGCCGTGCGTAGGTCGGAGGGCGCGGGGTCACGGCCCCCAGGCTGGCGGCCCGCAGTGTTGACCTGGGGGCGGTGCCCCGGGAGAGGCAGGCTCCATGCCAGGGACGCCTGGGTGAGGGCCCGTTTGTCCTTTTAGTGGGGTGCTGGCCCTGAGGGGTGTGTCTTCTAGGACACAGCATGGGGAGCGCTCTCGTGCTCGGGTTTGTCTCGTGGGGGAGTAACACCAGGCAGGCGACGTGGGGTTTGTGTCTTGATGATGGGGGGCCCGTGACACTGGCCCGGCACAGAGTGTGGTGCCCCTCGTATCCCTCCTCCCTGCCCGCGGGGTGACGGGGTGGCGGGAGCCCGGCCCGCGGCAGCCACACCCTCCTCAGCCCCCACTGAGGTGCGGGCCGCCTCACGCCCTCCCAGGCTCCCAGCGAGCCCCATCCCACGAGCCCCTCCGCGGGAAGGGCTGCTTCTCGGCCCCGCACTCCGGTTGGGGTGGCTGAGGCCCAGGGGCCACTCACACAGCCGGGAAGAGAGCCCGCTAGAATCCCGGGGGCCCGGGAGGCAACACACCTGGCTGTGGACCCAGCTCAGCTGCGGGCCAGCCCTGCGGCCCCACACAAGGGGCGGGAGGCACGCAGCCATCAGGTGAGTGCCCGGCATGGGGCCTGCACTTGGCACGAGAGCAGGACGGCTGACGCCTCCGGATGTTTACTCCTCGGAGCACCGCACGTCATCCAGGGCACCCTGTCCCCTCACTCGCCTGTGGGGCCCACTGTCCCGTTTCACAGGTGTGGAAACTGCCCAAGGCCCCACAGCTAGTCCTGGTGGAGCTGGGATCTGGGCCCCTGGAGCCGAGGGGTCTGGCTCCAGCCGCCCCTCGGCCTCCCAGACCTCCGGCGGGCCAGCGAGCGTACTCTTGTGTCCAGGTGGCGGGGAGGCTGCCTCGTAGGGTGAGCGGCAGACACGCACGCAGGCTCGCAGCCGTCCATCCAACGCTCTCTCCAGCACCAGGGACCGGGCAGTGTCCTGGCCTGGCACCGCTACAGGCACTGGGGACAGGCCCCTGCCTGGGCCTGCAGGTCACGCAGCTGTGACCGCCAGCAGCCGGTACCTGCACCTCCCGCTCAGAGCAGGGCTGGAAGGGCTGGAGAATCGCCAGCCCCCTCCCCATCTGCTGGGGAGCAGCTCTCCGCCAGCAACAGCGGTAGGCAAGTACCCCAGCGCCCTCGCCCCGGCAGGGCATGGGTGGAGGTAGCAGCTCTGGGGAGCCCCGGGCAGGAGTGGGCTGAGCTGCCCCGCGGGTATCCCCATCCCACGCCCCCAACAGACGGGCTGTACCGAGGCCTCCACTCAGGATTTGCTTCTGGGCGAGGCCTCAAGAGAAGCCACAAATCTAACACTTTTTGTGAAATCTCATTTTTAAATGTTTGCAACCAATTAAAAACATTGTCCGCTGTCCTGAACCGAAGCGGGGACTGTATCCGTGTCCTGGTTGTGACCTCGGGCTACAGACAGCAAGACGCTACCATGGGGGAACAGGGCACCCGGGTCTCTCTTACTATTTCTTACAACTGCAGGTGAATCTACAAGGATCCCCAAATAAACAGTTTAATTGTTAAACACCCTAAAAGCTATTTAAAAGCCCTGGGATCTCACAGATGTTAAATATGGCAGACAGGTAAGGTGGAACCTGGCTATACCACTCATGAGCTGTAGGTCCTTAGGTCAGTTCCTTAGCCTCTCTGTGCCTCAGTTTCCTGGTCTGTAAAATGAAAGCAGTAACAGTAGCTACGTCATGGGATCTGTCTGAGTATTAAACGAGGTAACACACGTGAAGGTCTTAGAACAGCGCCTGCACAGAATCAGCACCGGATAAGATGCTATTTTTCTAATTGTTGCCACTATCAAAAAAGCAAGGAACAGAGCAATGTAATAGCACAGAAAGCAAAGAAAACGTATACACGTGGGCGTGAACTGTCTCTGAAGGATCCGCAAGGAACTGGGAGAGAACAGGAGGAAAGGAGACCCTTCCCTGTAAGACTGGTGCTTTCCACATTGTCAGGGCACTAAATTGTACACTTTTCAATGAGTAATTTTATGGTACCTGAATTTCACCTCAATTCAAGAGAACTGTGGAGTTTTTGAATTTGGCTCCATGGACAAACCAAATAAATAAAATGTAAAACGAGGAGTAAAGAAAGGCAGGCAGGCGCTCAGCATGTGCCTCCCTGGGCCTCAGGCCTCGGGCTTCTGGTGCTGGCCGTGGCCTGTCCTCTTCAGCGTCGAGTGCCTGCCTCAGTCTCCCCTCCCGTCACTCCCGGCGGCTACTCCTGTCCTGGCCAGCCTCTCTTCCTAGCACCTGGCGACCAGCACCGAAAGCCCAGCCCTGCCCGCCTGGTACCACCACGCAGGCCACACTGGGCCCCAATCTCTGCCGTGTCACCAGCAGGCCCATCAGGCTTTCTCGAGCCAGGCAGGACCTCTGTCCCTTGGACCATCAACCTAGTCCCTGCTTCCCCTCCTTCCCCTCCAGCCACTCTGCCACCCTGGGTGGCTTCTCTGAGGCACCCTGGTCTCTGACCCCTCTACTTTCAAAGTATAGCCGGGGCCCTGAGACCACCGCACCCTGGTCCACACCCCTCACCTCTCCCAGAGTCGGCCCAGCCTCCCTCCCTCCCCACCGCCCTCCCCCCAACCTGTAGTCCATCGGCAGCGGGGCAGTTAGAACAGCCCACACCGTGGCCCACGACGGGCTAAGGACGTGGACGCCCCATCTGCCTCTCCGACTTCTCCCATCCACCTTGTCCACCTCAGAGCCCCCTTGCGGCTTCCCGTTCAAGGAGCATGTGCATCTTTACACCCTTGGTGGTTTTAAACATGACGGCAAATCCTTGCTTGGGTGCTTCTCTGAGTGAGGCTGGGGCGGCCCTAGCAGTTCCCAGGGAAGCAACAGGAGGCAGCCTGAGGCTCTGTGGGAGCAACCCCCGGAGCCAGACCCCCCTTGGGGCGTGAGGAGTGCGAGCGCTGCGCTGTCTGCCCAGCTGTGACGGAGCCGTCGGGTCGGCCGGCCTGGGCCGGCCTCCTGACAGCCAGTCCCAGCTGCCGTCTGACGCAGTAGCATGAGATCTGCCGTGAGAAGCCCCCACCTGAGCCCCTTCCCCAGTTCCTCACCCACTACATTGTGAGCGAAATTGAAATGTTTAACGCCTAAATTTGAGGGCAGTTTGTTACTTAGCAACAGCCACTAGCCGGGCGCTGTTTCTCTGCAGCTTGTCACCTACTCACCTCTCTGCTGCTGGCACCCCCGAGGCTGGCCCTGCACACCTCCCTCTGCCCCACCCTTATTTTCTTCCTAGCACGTTTACCACCTGCCGTGATCGCACATGTTCGCCCCTTTTCCTATGCTCTCCCCCATCCATACTGTAGCCCACGAGGGCAGAGAGCGCCCTGTCCTGTTCTCCCCTAGGGCCTCAGCACCCAGTGGGTACCCAGTGCCTGTTGAACGAGGGATTGAATGCATGCAAACTCCCGTGAGAGGGCAGAGGCCGCAGCTGGCGTCTTCTCAGGGGAGCTGCCAAGGCCCTGGGCCTCTGGCGAGGCGTGCTCACCCTCCCACCCCAGGACCCAACACTGGGCCCCCAGGGGCCTCCAGGGACTTTCCTGGATGGGAATGGGCTGAGATGTTGTCCTCAACTTTGGCCACCAGGTGGCAGCACAGGGACCGAGACTCCTTCCTAAGGACGCCAGGGGCTGGGACCCTACAGAGAACGCTGGTCCCAATGCAGGTGTAGGGGAGATCGGGGGCCGGCTGGGGGTGTAGATAACCGGGAATCCAGGTCCTGGGCCCAGAGCAGCAGCAGCCCTGCCTGCAGGCCATTCTGGGCCTGAACTGGATGCTCGCCAAGGCTCTCTGTCCTGTTTGTCTGGAAAGTCATATTAAGGAGCTTCTGGTTTGTCTGTGAACTGTTTCCTGCCCCTCTGCCACTTGAGACCTATCATAGCATTTGGAGCCATATCTTTAAGACTGAAGAACTATTATTTATTTAATATTCTCCTTTAAATAGACCTTTAAAACTTACACATAACCGGAAGGAATTTTTATATCAGCACCTTAACAGAAACCAGGGTCACGTGCCAGAAACAGACAGTAACTGTAAAAATAAAATAATCACCAACGTCAAGTACTTAGATGGCACTCACTGAGTGCCAGACGCTGTGCCAAACATCTCCTGAGTCTCATTTAGTTCCCACAACATGATGAGGGGTGTCCTAGTACTATCCCACTGCAAAGGGAACTGGGGCACAGAGAGGTTAGGCCACTTTCTTGATCTCACACAGCACGTAAGTGGCACCACCAGGGTTGGAATCACCAGATTCTTCAAAAGCAGTTCAGAAACGCAGCCTTTCCCACACACTCACACTGCTCAGTGTTGGCTCAAGCACACACACCAGCACACACAGCACCAGCTGCCCCCGTGGGTGCCCGGCTAGCCTGATTTCTAGGCATCGAGACCCCGGGTTCAGGCCGGGTCTCCCAGCCCCCAGGGATTCACTGTCATCCCCCTGCACTCAGGAGTCCTCAGTGAGTTCTAAGTGCTCCCCTGGGGTCTGGAGCAGCTGTGGGGGACCAGGTGAGGCACAACAGTCCTGATGCCCGGAGGCATGAAGTGGGACCCCCATCTCAGCCCCCCGCCCGCCCCCCCCCCCCGGCTGCGGCCTGCAGGCGCGGGGGATCCAGGCAGGACCTGGAGACCCCCGTGTAAAAACAAGGCTACAGGGTGGGCTTGGCAGGAGAAAGAGACACCCTTGGGCCTGATTCCGGGAAGGGGGGTTCCGGGGGAGTCATGTATAGGCGGCTAGTGCCGCAAGCCAGCCCTGGACCCCTGGTACGTAACGCAGCAAAAAGGCAACGGGACACCGTGCTCCTCCCGGCCC